CACGAGGCAGGAGGGAGGGAAGTCAATATGCTCTTAAGAGCTAAAAGAAGAGAATAATGATGTGATTAAATATTATAAAATGGAAAATCAATAAAAAAAATTTTTTTTAAGTCTTCTCTACTTAACTTATTTAACAATTATTTACAATTATGACAAGTCTTACTGGCTGAATGAATTCTCTGTTGATCTGATACTTCCACTCCAGAGAGCAGTCATAATGGTTGCTTTTATTCCGTAAGCGAAGCATTTAATATGTTAAAGAGGATACATGAAAACAAGTGATCAGATGAATGGTCCTCAAAAGGTGGCTGGAACCCACCACTAGGTCACCGCCTGGTCTAGGGAAGGTCATGACAACAACAACAACATCCTCAACATACAAATACTTACTACCAATTTAATTAGTGGTTCCCCAAATACATGCTTGGGCCAAGGGCAGGTGCAGGGCCCGAAAAGGTTAAAGACTCATGGACTGGAAGACCCTGAAAAATCAGGGCTGGATGGGGCAGGTTACACAATACTGTGCATTTTCAGTTCTTAGTCATGGATGCAAATCCAGCCCTGGCCATGGCAGCAACCAAAATATATCGCCTTCTGACAGCTGCTCATTTTCAGTAACTGAAATGTCTGAGAGTACTGTACTAATCCTTCTAGAAACCTGTAACAAGCTCCTTGGAAAACACTGATAAGAACTAATGATTATTGCTTTTTAATGTTTTCAGCATTAACTCATTTTACTTCTGTTTGCAAATGTTGCCCACTACTTAGCCTACGGTGAGGTTGGGCAGCGCATTGGGTAAATTGTCAGCTGTGAGAAGTTGAGTAAAATGAATGTTTTACTGCATAAATAAAATCCCAGGATGTTATCTGGTTGTAGTTGCCTATAGAGAAATACAAACTCAAGTGTTTCTTCCATAACATTTAAGTTCTGATTATGAGCTGGAACACAAATGCATCACCCCCTCAGAGGCGATGAATACAGCTGATTAAGTGCAAGTTATGGAAAAATGCAAAGCCATTTGCATTTCTGTACGTGCTTTGACAAAAAGGGTCCAATTGTTTCCTTGTAAAGAATTTTATAAAGACAGTCAATTAGCAGTGAAATCCACAGTCTTAAAATCCTGGTAGAAAAAAATGTTTAATTTTCTGACCTTTAAGACAATGGCTTGCATTTTAAAAGAGGAGACTGGATCCCTTCTTTCCAAATAGATTTTGAAAGATGTAACCCTCCTTTTCTTCTAAAATGCTCCCCTAATTATAATTTTGGCACAATAAATCAGAAGCAGCTCTGCCACCAGGAGGAGGACTGACCGTGAGAAGTGGTCACAGATTTGGGTTTTGTTAGGAACAGCAGAAGAAGATGGATTTGACTTACAGAGCATAACAATATACTGGGAAAGCCTTCTACTGTCCCTTTGCTTATTGTGAGGCAGAGGATTGAAGAAGCAGAACATCTTAGACCAAACTTGTTTACTACAAATACAGCTTTTCTGGCACATTAATTGATTGGTTGGTTATTATTATTTAATTATAAAGTGTACCACATATTTGCTGTTGTAAAGAGTGGTCTTTACAGCTTGGGCTTGGGTTCATTACAAGTGTGCTGATGTTCAGTGTTTGCAAAATGGTAAATACTGATAAGATCTATGATCCCCCCACAAACTGTGGTGCAGGAAGTGAACACAAGGAGTAGGGTATTTACAGCAGCAACATCCACTTTATTCAACTCCCTGACCTAAGGGAACCTGCCTAGTCCCTTCCCTAACTTCCTTCAGCCCTCAACTTAAACAAGTTGCCAAGGTGGGGCCTGTGGCACAATGATGCATTTGAAGTCTTTACCTGGTACCCGCAAAGCCTCTAAGTCTCTTCATACACTGCTGCCACCACCATCATCACCCTGTCATAAGATGGTGCAGACAGTTACTTTGCTTTGTCTTTCAGTACATAAAGTTGAAGGAGGAAGATGGAAGGGTGATTCTCTTTCCCACTCCCTCTTTCAGGCTCAGGCCAATTCCACAGGATTCTTTAGAAATGCAAAATGTGTGTGTATTTTCCTTCAGTCTTTCAGGCAAAGGGCTGATCCAGGAGAGGAGGAGAGAAGAGACCAGAGGGAGTGGAGCCCATGATATTCACTCAAAAATCCAGGAGTGCCTATTGGCCAAAATAAGATGGAAATCCCCAAACCTAGCTTTTAGGGATGCTTGACAGATTACTGGATTGGTTTTCTTTATTTGCTGTTCTGCTAAAGTTTTCTGCTGGTTGCCTGCTGTTTTATACCATTTTCTTGCTGCTGCTGCTGCTGCTGCTGCTGCTGCTGCATCTCATTATTTTCCGCTCAGCCCAGACTGTGGGGAGGTGACCAGGCTGCAGAACCTATTACGTTTTTGCCACCTTTCAAAGACCTATTTGTTTATGAAGGCATTTGCTCACTCTCAGAGGTATCAGATTATTCCTGCCATTTCTGTCCTAGGTGCTAGTTTTGATTGGTTTTCAATTGTATTACATTGTTTGTTTAACGGGTTGTTAAATGGTTTCATTTCTGGTAAGCCACACTGAATGCAGTTTGGAAGAAATCTTGTAAGTTTTATTTTATTGCAGTCTTGATCTTATTGTTTCATTGTGTTGATGTTAGCCATTTTCAATGTCTTTAAATAAAACACACAACATAATAATGATGATGATGATGAAATAGACACAGAAGCCTCAATGGGACTCAGTTGCAATAGGTCTGGAACCTAAGGGTCTGCCATAGACCCTTACCCATACTGCCATAACAGTATTCATTCTACTGCTTCCAGAAGGGAGAATACATGAGCAAGCAGAAGTACTAAGCTAGGTGGCCCTATAAATAGTAGCAGTCAGTGCAGCATAGGCTGAACAGAAGAAAATTATCTACTGATGCTGTAACTGATTAATGTAACTACTCCTGGAAAAAATATCAAGTGCAGGTGCATGAAGGCAGACGCACAAAATACCATTTCCTGACCGGAGTAAAATAACAGGGATTTGTGCAGGATTTGTCCTGCAGCCATGCAGAGATGACTCAGAAGAAATGAAAATCCATTAGCACATCATCACTGATCAAAAAGATAGGAGCACACAGCAGGACAGGTTGTTTTCTATGCTTCTGCTGGCAGCATAGCTATTTTTAGCTTGACATTTTAAAATGAGTCACCACAGAAATGTTAAGGTAAACCTTTCATTTTTAATGCCTCTCACCTTGTTGAGCTACAGGTGCACATCATATATATATATATATATATATATATATATACACACACACACACACACACACACACACACTGTTCTGACTATGCTTTGCAGTATTGCCAAGCAAAAATCACCTATTAAAAATTGTTTATTGTTGACTGGAGAAGCTGGCAGTAGATATAAAAAGGGCATTAGGGATACCCCATGAGATCAAAAGAGAAATTGCTGAATTGTAAATCCAAACATGCATATAACACTAATAAGAATGTATTGGGAGAGGGATTAGCGGCAGCTGAACCCGTTCGAAAATGGCATTCAGGCTAACTGCTTACAAAAGATGAAAGGAACGAAATGACTTCTGAGATTTTTCTTCCTCTTAGTAGAGAAACTGTGCCCTTTATACATTAAATATTTCTGATTCAGCTAATCGGTAGGAAAAGTTATAGGTTGTGGACTGGGTCACCCTTGGGTCTTATGACACATTACAGCTGCTACAGGAATGCCAGTTTCAGCTGCTTCATGTAGTACCTGCTATCGTGTAATATAGGCAAAGGGGTTGAGATCCATGAGCCCCCAGGGGATTGTCTGAAGCTTATCAATCTAACAGAAAGAAAGATCTGCAGTGCTCTCCTATGGTTTTTGTCTTTTCTCTCTGACCTATGAAGCGGCTCTCAGGTCCAATGACATTTTAGATTCAGAATCAAGACTCAAGAGCAGAGGTGGTAGAAGGCCTGGAGGGGAAAGTCCAGCTGGAGAAGGTCCTGGTATATTCTTTGCCTGCCTGCTTCTCTCCCTTGCAATCACCCCCATTGAGAAATTGGTGGCAGATGGCTCAGTGGGTAGGGGAAGTCAAGCTGGGGGTAGCATTTGCCTGACTCTCTCCCTCTCCTACCAATGCCTTCTAAGTATTACAAAGAAAGAAGAGATGCAGTCTTCTCATGCATACAAGAGAACTATTGCTGCGATGGGTAAAACGGCCCTTGTGATTTTTATTTGAAGGGTCTTCAACTTCCCCAAACCCCAGCTTGGACATGAGGTAAACATGAGGAATCAAAAAAGTAAGGTGGCATCCTAACAGGAAGAAAGCTGAAAACATGTGGGCAATTTAGAAACTGCCCCCCTACATCCTCATAGATAGTCTTTAGACAGGGGTCAGCAAACTTTTTCACCAGGGGGCCAGTCCACTGTCCCTCAGACCTTGTGGGGGGCCGGACTATATTTTTGGAGGGAGGGGAATGATGCAAGAGCACCATAAGCCCTGGTGACTGCTCGCCTGTGTCTTGCGAATGGCAAGGGCTGGCAGTGGCAGTGGAGAAGGGACATTGAGCAGCACGTGAAAGGGCTCCAGAGAGGGGCTGCTTAAAATGGCGGCTGCCAGAAGGTAATTGGGCCTGATCCAGCCCACAGCCCTTAGTTTGCCTACCCATGCTTTAGAGCTTCCCAAAACTATGGTTCGTTTGTTGCTGTATCTTCCCCTGAAGTACCAAGACTGAGAAGAGGACAATATCAGTTACTAGGGCTACACAATGACATCAGCCAATATGTTCATTACCTGAGTTTCCTGCTTACTTATTTTTCCTCTGGATAATTAAGGCAGAGAAACAGGCAGCTGCTACTAATATATACCACAGTGGCCGTGCAGATCTACTGCGTTTATATAGAGTTCTAAATTTATCCTGTGCTAGGAATTGCATATTTCTTTTGACTGGATTCAAGTCATGACATGTGACATTATTACTTTGCAACTGGCAGGACAATCCTTGATTTTTCTTATTCTGAATTCATTTTTTGTGTGTTTATTAATGGAATATCCATTTGGTGCCAGACCATCTTCATGGAACGTAATCTTCCTTTAGGAAGTTAATGAATAGAATTTAAATAGTGCTGAAGTCTGCAGGTTGACCTTTTGTCAAACGGCTTGCTATTTCCAAGTGAACAATAGCCTTCACTTCTTGGCACAGGTTCAGAGCACCAGGAGTTCAAATTTCAAACAACAGTTAACAGTGAAGAGAGCTGCAATTAGCAAGGCCAGGTGAACAAGATTTATTTGTATTCCTTTACGGTGATGCCACAGATAAAAATGCACCAGTCACACCGCGAACATCAAAGAACAACAAAAAAATCTGAATTCTCTTGCAACAGTAACTGAATCTGGGCCAAACCGCATGGATAAGATTACCTTCATAAATTCTGTATTCAAGTCTTTGTGGAAACAAAATAAAACCATGTTGAGCTTATGTACAATTAAAGAGAATGCAAAACCCAAAGGAACGATGAAGAATGCAATACCCACAAGAATAATACTAACTAGAAACCAACCAAAAACAACAGCAAAGGATTCATCAGGAGAATAAAAGAATTCTTGCACCCAGAAATATCAGCCTATGTGTAAGCACTCTAAGACGATCTAAGATCTATTACAATGATTCTCAACCTATCTTGAGCATGAGGACTTGAAACTCAAAAGCAAAAGTATGCTATGGCCCAATATCATTACTTCCCTGAGATATAAAATGTCCATATAGTTCTAAAAAAACTAAAGGCGTTGCTCATTAATTGACTGACTAAGCTGGCTGAAGTAGCCTTCCTGCCTCCCTTTATTTATTTTCTATGCCGCCTATCATTCAAGGATCACAGGGTGATAAAAACACGAAAATATGTAACATGGTAACAAACAAAAACAATCACACACACACAAGCATGGGTAGGCAAACTAAGGCCCAGGAGCCGGATCCTGCCCAATCGCCTTCTAAATCCGGACCGCGGGTGGTCCGGGATTCAGCGTGTTTTTACATGAGTAGAATGTATCCTTCTATTTAAAATGCATCTCTGGGTTATTGGTGGGGCATAGTAATTCGTTCATTTCCCCAAAAAATAGTCTGGCCCCCCACAAGGTCTGAGGGACAGTGGACCGGCCCCCTGCTGAAAAAGTTTGCTGACCCCTGCACAAGAGCTTACGAGACCATAGATTGTTTGATTAGCCAAGGCTGGTTCTATATGCATATGTGTGTTTTTTATATAGACTGTAGCACTGGGAGAGCAAGGAAACATTTAGTTCCCTCATCGGAAGTCTTAAGTGGTACAGTCTAGCAATATCAGTATATCAAGGGAGGCCACTGCTAGAGAGAACATAAAGAGAGCCCTGATGGATCGGACCAAAGGCCTTATCTGATTAGCATCCTGTTCCCCACAGTGTCCACAAGCAGGACATGAGAACAACAGCCTATACCCACCGTTGTTCCTTAACAACTGATATTCAGAGACATACTGCCTCCCTATACATGGCCTACACATGCAGCCATCACGACTATTTAATTGATAGCACTATCCACGATGAAGTACTCCGTAGTATTTTACAGGATTCTATATATTAAGTTGTTGGAAACTAATAGTTTCACTGATCTGTTTTATTATCAATGATTGCCGTTACGGCATACCAAAGCCTCAGAAAGAAGGAAAGTCAGACGTCGTCTATTAAGCTGTACTTGAAAATGAGCCTACCAAAAAAAAGAAGAGAGAAACCAATGTTCTGCTGGTTTGGTTTGGTTTCAGCTCTTGAGACTTTTAAGGCTGGAGGCAGAGTTAGGATTAAGGCAGGTCTTGAACCTCTGCTCTGAAACAACTTGAGGAATGTCATGGAACGATTCAGCTGTGTGCCAAAATCCCACTGGCCAAAGGAGGGAACAGCAGGTCAGGTGATCTCTCCTTATCGCCGCACACACCGGCAGGGTCATTCTGCTGTTACCGCTTTTTCAGACCACGTTCTCCAGGCCATCGATTTGACAGGGGTTTGGGTCTGAGACGAAGTTATGGTGCCAGATGGCAAATACAGGTGGAGGAAAGGAAACATTACCAAGGTTTGACAAAAAGTAAATGAAGCAAAAATAATCCCATGTCTCACATTGTCAGTGACAATGCCTGCCAGGCAAAACAAATTTCTCCTTTCATGGCACCCAATGGCTGTAAAACCTAGGCATGCATGCAAGATTCTGATGAGTCACCATAATAATGAGATCGGTATGATAGCTGTATAAAGATGCAGGATGGGTGCCCAAACAGCTTTGTTTTAAATGAAAGCACATTTACGAGTAAATAGATATGCAAGTAATTTCACTAAGAACTGTTCAAATCTCGCAAACAACAATTCAAAATGGGGCACCACATTTACTAAGTTTTACACTGACTCATCTGCGGAGAAGCAATTTCACAGGCAGACAGTCTTATCTGCTCTGCAAGGCAAAAAAAAATAGCTGCACATTTGACTAATAGTGTAATCACACACAAAAAAACACACGGTGGGAAGTGTCTGCGTTAATGGAAACAATAACCATTCCTGCTCTTGTGTTCATTTTTAAGCAGCCATCTCTCTTAAAATGACTTATATTGCTACGGCATTTTCTACAGCTGCAAGCTTAGTCGTCAACACTATAAAGCAGCCCTTTGTGAAGAGCAAGAAAAAGGAGGTTGTGCTTTGGAGGGAAAAAAACCAAATTAGAAAAGAAGATTTTGACTTGGCTTTATTTACAACTTTACAAAGCCTGTCACAACAAGTAAATCATCTAAGACATTACTTACAGGTCCCTAAAAAGTAGATTAAAAAACGAGGGAATTGAAGCAAAACATTGCTGCGTGGACTTGGGATTACAGCAAATTTACAGGATAATGTACTCCATTCCTTTTCACCTTCCTCTCTCCCATTTTCCCATTTTCTTCTCCCAACATACAGTCAACAGTTCATGGCTAATGAGTATGCCAAGTGGCCACAGGGGTATCAGACTGGGGAGGTGTGGTTGCCTTCTTTTAAATATTTTTTTGTTCTTCTACAAACTTGAGGTTCCCCCTGAACGTGGCCCCTACCCATGTTTAACACTTCAGAGAGACCTGCATCCTGGCTTCCAGATAAAACTGACCTGGATCTGAAACAACAACGGGAGTCCTTTGATACTCCTGGGTTCCACAGTCAGCTGTAGTCTAGCTCTTTGCTCAAACCCCATTCCTAAATCCAGCTGCTCAAAAACAGCTGCCTCATCCTTAGCTGAAGTGCAACCAATCGGTTCATCAGGCCATTTTGTAGCAGGAAAATTCTCACTATTTTCAGAAGACTCGAGAATAGGATACTAATTACATTGAAGGAGCCCACGGCAACTTCTCATTCATTCCTCTAATAAAAGACACATATTCAGGATTGCTTGATAATTTAGTTATTATTCTTCAACAGATTTTCACATTTAAGAGTGACGGTAACTCAGTAAAAAGGCAAGCAATCCCAGCAGTCTTTGAAAATTCAGGTTGATAAAAAGAACAGGGATTCCAACCTATGTTAGTGTCTATGGATACAGAACTAGAAGGTAATAGTTATTCCAGAGCAATTAACACAGAGTAGAAGGGTGTAATCTTGATAATGTGATATTGGCAGTGCTTCTAACTGCTGCATTTGCTGACCCTTCACTATCATTAGTTTAAATAATAGTGATTTGATCGGGTAGAAGAGAAAGTACAGTGGCAATAATGCTCCCTAAAACTCCCTAGAATTTTGGCCAGTGTTGAGGACAAAATGCCTACGTCAAAATTGCTTGTAGGTGGACAGAATGCTTCTGTTTTTCAAATACCTATTGGGGGCACTTTGTACATAATCAGAGATGCTTTGTCCTTTGCAGGAGCAACAAAAAGTCTCAACGAAAGAAAGACACGCTTTGTATTACCAAGAGTACCAATTTCCCCAAGGAATCAGAATATTTTAAGCCACAACAAAAGCTGGCAATGTTCAGAGCAAATACCACAATTGCTTGCTCTCCCTCTCTCAAGTGGTTGTGGTTCTCTTCCATTTTAGAAACTGGACATGGCTCTTTGAAAACCATTCAAGCTACCTGGAATCCATCAATGAGTCACAGAGATGTTTCAGGTTGGTCACCAAGGTAATCTGTACTGGCCAGTGATGTGCCAACACACAAGCACTAAGGGTCAAGTCATGTGGCCACTTTGAGCATGGTAATGGTTGGCAATCCACTGTAAGCAAGCACAGAAACAATCATGAGACAAGGTGCACATCAGGTTTCCTCATGTCGCTGAGAATACTCCTTCCAACTCTCTTTTAATGGTGTGCACACTTCTGCACATGTACTCCAACCCCCCACAAAGTGTGTGAATACTGGCATATGTGTACTGCTATTACCATGGCTAAGAGGTCCATGTGTTCAGCTCTAAGTTAAGGAGAATAAAGCAAATTCCAACCACAGATTCCTTCAGCGTGCTGATATAGTCTTAAGCTGTCCATTTGACCAACCATACCATCATTATTATCACCTCTACCCCTAGTGACAGCTTCTAATCCCGTTTTCCCAATGTTCGCATTTGTTTTTCTCCACAAGCATGCGTACATTACAAAGTAAAGAAGGCAAAAGGTCAATTAACAATCTGCAAACATTTCGGTATGCTCTACGGATTGGCTTTTAGCCCAGAATAGAACAGCCTTGTTCACAGTAAAATATGAAACTTTGAAGGGACTGGATCTCAACATATACCATATAGACCTATATATTATAATCCATCTATTCGTCATGGTGCTATCTCAGTCTTTCCCAACAGTGTAATATGTTCTCTTAGCTTCATCACCTATCATCATTAGTAGGCTTCTGATTGCAGATTTTACAGATAGAGGATGATGTGTCATAACCTTTGGGCACAATGGAGAAGGCAGATTGATCCAATTCAATAACATAATTAAGGAGCAACCATTTTTTTAAAAAAAATATCTCTATTATCCCTGATACTACAAACATAGACCTCTACTGTGAGCTGAAGTTAGGTCAAGCTACAGGACTAGCCTTCATAACTAGATATTTTGTGGTATACAATTACTGTGTTTAAAACATTCAGTGCTACATACTGACTAAAAGAAAAGGGGGGAAAAATCTGACCTGAATGGGATAAAACCAAGCCAGCTGTTTCCTCTCCTTTTATCCGCCCACATCTCAAAAGAGGCACTGTGTGCTGTCGGTCCACAGAGAAGAACAGAAACATCACATGCCATCAGGAGGGCACAATGCATTGTGGGTCACCGAATCCTCCCGACCCAGAGCAGTCAATGTAAAGTCTCCAGCCCTGCCATCCACCCCCCCCTCCACTTAATCTTGGGATGCTAAAACAGCACAAATAAAAACGGCAATCACTCGCTCTATTTAATTTCTACAAAAAAAAAATTAGGGCAGCTGGCTTGCTCAATGGTGCAGCCTTCTCAATCCTAGATGCTCATGTAGAGCAGAGCACATTAAAGAGAAGGGTCTGTGTGGGTAAAACAAGTACAAAAATCAAGCTACAAACTCAGGTCAGTTACTGGTTTATGCATAGTCACATACTCCTATAATACTGACAAATGGCTCCTCTTTCTTTTCCAGACGTCTTCTTATAATTACTCCTCCCTAATCCTATTCATTATTTCCTTCAGTTCCTTCAGCCTCTCTCATTAGTGTTAAGGTTATAATGCTCTGATTTCCAGCACAAAGGAAAAATGCATTGATGTCAACCATTATTTCAAGATGGGGTGCCAATTCAAGAACAGATTGCTTTGATTGCATTCCCTTTTTTAAAAAAAGGAGAAACCAACATGCATAACTAAAGACATGTATCACTACAGTCCTCAGACCACCAAAGCTGTCTAAATGAAGTCTCATTAATGCAAATGCTTCTTCCCAGATCTAACCTAAGTGGCATTTCAACTACAGCTGCAGAAAATGGTCCTAAATATACATATATATATGGAATATTAACATCGTTCCAACATCGAACACACTTCAAGCCACATTCACTTTCAATACTCTATATGCCATCTTCAGACTTCCTAATTCTTTTAAATCAGATTACACAGTGCAAACATAAAGAGATATTGAATTAATGCACAGCTAGACGTCACAAACCGATGTCATGGTTTCTCTACCCAATGGGAGTTTCAGGAAAGTCAGCACAAGGCTCATCACACAAACTTTGAATTGTTCTCCTCCTTAGATCCATATAATGTTGCCGCTGTTACTTGGAATGGAAATCTAACATAATGGCCGTATTACATTTCACATTGGAAGACATTTTTGCCTTAATTTGATTAGCTAGGAAATGCCATTTTTTAAACGTTACTAAAAGGCTTTCTGATGAATACTGGGGGAGAAGGGATTCATGTTTTTAAAGTGTGCCCTCAATGTTATTTCTTTGGCTGGTATAGACCACTGACATGGCTTTCAGAAGCCTAACCCATTTCAAGGATATATTTTTGTGTGGTTCCATCTATAGTACATTACATTCAGGCAATGGGCCCTAATCAGAGATGCTATCAATTGAACATGGGACCTTCTACATAAAAAGCAAGTGCTCTAACACCAAACTACAAAACTTCCACCATTAGAACATTAGAAAGGGTGGCAAGGACTTGCCTTCTTCCAATCGTAGGCACAACCAGAAACGTGTCTCGTGCAGAAACATCAGAGAGAGAGACACACATTCTAGAAGCAAATATTTGGGGGTAGAAGAGTGAAGTATGCCTCCAATTTTATTTTTTAAAAAGTGTGTGTTAACTATCAGAAGCATAGTAAACACATAGCTGGTAGGGTTTTTATTGCAACATGAGTTTTCCCCGGCAACACAACCCACTCCCTATATTTGTGGGTGAGTCATGGATCTGGTGATCCAGTGAGGTAATGCATCGGATGAAGTTGGCTGTTACCTATGAACACTCATGCCTATGAACACTCACAAACCCCATATCATCTTCTAATTGTTGACATAGACTGATAATACCATTTCTCTTTAGGATACTGTGCGTCCAAGACATAAAGACTGCCGGGCGATCATCAAGGCAGAACTGGGATCTAGCAAGGCACTCAAGAGATTTAGCTGTAGGGATTTGCAGGGATGCACAACTACAAAAGCCGATAGCAGTCAGATGCAATACTGACTAGAAAAGCTGGCCCAATCTCACATTTCCTGATGGGAAGCAGCAGGGGGAATGTTGGTACCGTAAAACAATAGAGTCCATGTTCTGCTCT